ACTTGGTGGTTCTTTACAACCCCAGAAAGACTTCTTATTACGACAATCAACCTCTTAACTTAATTTGTCGTAACCATTTCAGATATTAAATATCCAATATAGTTTTTTTGAATAAATTACCGAGAATGCACAGTGATAATACATAAGGAACTTTTTAAAACCCTTTATATTAATTATGTAAAAATCCGAAACAATGCCTCACACTTTTGGTATCAAAATACCTTGTGTATATGGCAATGGTGGTGGTGGTAGTGGTGGTGGTGGTGGTGGTGGTGGTGGTGGTGGTGGTGTTGGTGGTGGTGGTGGTGGTGGTGGTGGTGGTGGTGGTTGGTAGCGATGGTGGTTAGAGATGGTGGTTGGCAGGGTGGATAGTAGAGGTGGTAGGCACGGTGAGGCTGCCTGGCTAACATCCAAAACAATGTTCCCCCCTTTTACATAGCACTGTCCTAGCAGTGCCACACCCTCACACACCTACAGTGCCACACTCTCACATACCTATAGTACCACACCCTCACACACCTACAGTGCCACACCCTCACACACCTACAGTGCCACACAATCCCATACCTACAGTGCCACACCCTCACACACATACAGTGCCACACCCTCATACACGTACAGTGCCACTCCCTCACACACCTACAGTGCCACACCCTCACATACCTACAGTGCCACACTCTCACACACCTACAGTGCCATAAACTCACATACCTACAGTGTCACACTCTCACACACCTACAGTTGCCACATCCTCACAAACGCACAGAGCCACACTCTCACACACGTACAGTGCCACACCCTCACACACCTACAGTGCCACACTCTCACACACCTACAGAGCCACACCCTCACGACCCTACAGTATACTACAAAGTAGTTAATAGCTAATACTGTTTGATAAAACTTGTAAAAGAGGTTGAAAGAGAGAGAGAGAGAGAGAGAGAGAGAGAGAGAGAGAGAGAGAGAGAGAGAGAGGAGAGAGAGAGAGAGAGAGAGGAGAGAGAGAGAGAGAGAGAGGAGAGAGAGAGAGAGAGAGAGAGAGAGAGAGAGAGAGAAGAGAGAGAGAGAGAGAGAGAGAGAGAGAGAGAGAGAGAGAGAGAGAGAGAGAGAGAGAGAGAGAGAGAGAAAGAGAGAGCGACAGACCTATGAATATTCCTGATATTTATTCTTCAGCTTTTCTTGTTTTAATGATGTTATTGTAGTTGTTGTTGTGGCAGTCAAAACAGTTGTCTTCATCACAATGGTTCACTTACAACGACTGTCAAGAAAAGATGACAGTGAGACAGCGTATCGCTCTCCCTCCCTCTGTGTAGACACTTATCACAAAAGCTTATTCCGTAACGAATGAGTTCTTCACAGCACCTGTCTACTGGAGAGTGCCAAGACTGGTGAGTGCGTGAGTGGGGTACAAGAAGGTCTAGAAAAGGACCTGAGTGGGGTGCTAGAAGGGTGAGAACAATAAGTGAGTGGGGTGCTAAAAGGTCTAGCACCCCTCTCACCTAACACCCCGTTCAGGTCTAGAACAGGACTTGAGTGGGGTGCTAAAAGATCGAGAACAGGACCTGAGTGGGGTGCTAGGTGGTCGAGAACAGGACCTGAATGGGGTGCTAGGTGGTCGAGAACAGGACCTGACTGGGGTGCTAGGTGGTCGAGAACAGGACCTGACTGGGGTGCTAGGTGGTCGAGAACAGGACCTGACTGGGGTGCTAGGTGGTCGAGAACAGGACCTGACTGGGGTGCTAGGTGGTCGAGAACAGGACCTGACTGGGGTGCTAGGTGGTCGAGAACAGGACCTGACTGGGGTGCTAGGTGGTCGAGAACAGGACCTGACTGGGGTGCTAGATGGTCGAGAACAGGACCTGACTGGGGTGCTAGAAGGGTGAGAATGTGAAGGTATCAGGGAATAAGAACACAAATAGTAGTCAAGGCAGTGATAATGGTGCCGCTGGAAGGCATTCTGGCAATTAGAGTGCTAGGAATGAGCCTTAGAGTGCCAGCGGAGCGCCATATGTTGCGTGATGAGGCACTAGTGTTGCATATGTTGCGTAGGCAAACATTGCAACACCAGTCTGATGACTGTATTACCTTCTGACAACAAACTGTAACACTAATGTCACTATTTAAAACACAAGTAAATAATGTTAGCTGAAGTCTTATTAGTGTCACGATGTTTATCAAAATTTGTGAAAATTAGCTCGAGTAGATAATCTATCGTTGAAGGGATAGATAAGCTTATTACCAATATACTTTATCATTGTTATTCGTTATTGGGAAGCATTTAGACTGGCAACGCTGATACAATACCCGGGTGACATGAAAAGTACCAAGTTATTTGCACGGAGAGGAAGGGTGGCTCATCTTCGTTATTTCAAGAGCCCTTCAGCAGCATCAAGGTACTACCCTTGAACAGAGCATCAAGACACCTCCCCTGAACAGAGCATCAATACACTTCCATCGAAAAGAGCATCAAGGAACCACCCTTGAACAGAACATCAAGGCATAGACCTTGAACAGAGCCTTGGAAAACGTCAAATATGTAAATGTATCCCATCTACTGTAGAATGAAGGAACACTGCAATAGGCCTATTAGCCCACACTAGGAGGGTCCAGCTCGCATCCACTCATATATCTTTCAACCTACATCCAAATTATCTTAAACTCTTGCCTCCACGACTCTACTGGAAGTTCATTCCGCTCATCTACAACTCCACTGACAAGCAACTATGAAGAACATATATAAAATGCAACTTAACCAACGATTATAATTGGAACCTGTCTTGTGTTGGTGGAGAGCGAGAGATAACTGATATATCAGGGTAGAGAGGGAAGGAGAGAATATGTCCACGACCCTGAACATCTCAACATCTCCAGCAGTTGTGGGTAAAATGCCAATCTTAAGTTTAGATTAGTTTCCTCACTCGTGCTGAACAATGGTACGAGTTAGTTCTTTTGCCTGATGGTGAGAAATGAAACCCACCCGTCCAGAGGCACATCAGCTATGTCCAGAGGCACATCAACTATGTCCAGAGGCACATCAACAATGTCCAGAGGCGCTTCAAACGACTTTCTTTCACTACCATTGCAAAGACTAAACACTAGTTAATAAAAGTACACAAATAGGTCATGTTGATATAATGATTACAGTCATGAAGGGATAAGCCCAGGGATGTACCTACGGAACGGAAGACAGTTTTGATCCGAGGATGGGAAGACCAGCTGTAATGCCATAGATCAACAGTCCATCACCAGCTGCAACAAGACACCTCCAAGAGGTGTTGGAAACTTCTAAAGTGTTGCAATATGTTACAGAAATATATGTAACCTCAGTGAAGAGAAAATGAAAAGGTGAAAAAGTAGTGGAGGTAGATACGACACAATGTAACAAGTAGTTGACACTCAACTCACTGGCAGATGTCAATGTTATTTCAAGGTTCAGTCTCCTACATTATCTTCCATCATTGTATCAGTGCTATTTCAAGGTTCAGCCTCCTACATTATCTTCCATCATTGTATCAGTGCTATTTCAAGGTTCAGCCTCCTACATTATCTTCCATCATTGTATCAGTGCTATTTCAAGGTTCAGTCTCCTACATTATCTTCCATCATTGTATCAGTGCTATTTCAAGGTTCAGTCTCCTACATCATCTTACATTATACCACAGGCACCAACGTCACCCACAAACTTGTTGGATTAAAAAACTTTCTGGATCAAATTTAACTTTACTGCCAGACCTTTGCGAATATTTCGGTCTGACTGAATAAATGATAATATTTACCGATATACTGAGCAACACCCACGAGTGCAACACAACAACCAAATAACCAGAATGAAAATTAGCTATCTTGAAATTTTAGGAGCATCTGAAAATAGATAATGACGTTGGGTCTAGATGCAGTCTTTAAGGAATTTTGTGACAAAAAAAAATAAAATACATACAGCATGTGCTTCTCTAGCCTCTTCTTCCCATTCGCTTGAAGATGTGTGTAAGCACATGAAAGTGTTCAGGTTTTATTATCTATTTTCAGTGTGGTATTTTTACTTAATTGCAGTCATTAGTTTTATTGTGATTTCTGTTTTAAACAGTAAGTGTAAACTTATGTCATTGTAGTATAGTGAACGAATTCCAGAGCTAAGAAGTATAACTTCCTTAATTTTGATATAAATGAATACTCTAGTAAGTTTATCAAAGAACAGAAGAATGGTAAACTAAGTCGGACAACAATACTGGAACATGGCAGCCATACTTAAATCACGACAAAAGTTGAGTAAAGAAACTGAAATATTTGCATAAATACACTGGTAGAACGCAGGGATGGGATTCAAAAAGTGTTCCATGAAATATATGTGTTGACATCAAGACATGCAACTGCTCTCAGGCTCTGAGGCTTCAGTCATATCTACGCCTGAAACTGTGTATAGTGTTTGGCTCCATCTAATCAGCTGGTGCTTTCCACCTATCACACGCAGTTTTTAAAGTGGTGAACAGGCAAGCCAGCGCAAGGCCTCGGCAAGATGACCAAAAGCTCAAGTAGGGGGTCATCATATGACCAAGACTCACGTCAGGAAACACTTGTCCTGTGTCTTAACGAAATCTTACCACCTCTAAGACTGGAAAAAAATATTTTCTAATGAACCAATGACAGATGGCAGGTGCTACAAGCTGAATCAGTTTACTACATATTAACAGTCTTAATAAAAAATCTTATGTAAGGAACACTGCATAATACACGCTTTTAGAATCTGCTATACCCACGGGAAAGATACGAAAAATATAGAATGTCAAAACAAATGCGATTGATGCCTAATAGAATGTTCAGCCGGAGAGAAATATGAACCACCAACATCTTGAGAGAACCTTTGAACCTTATTCACTATCTGGATAAAGAATTTTCTCCAATTTACTCAACACAGCAGAACCACTTCTCGCCTGGGCGTGAGTATGGAGGGCGTCTTACCCACTCCTGAGGTAAGGAGATCAGACAACTCAGGGAACACTTACCACTTGGGCGCGAGTGTGGAGAGTGTCGTACACTTCATGACCAGACGACACATTAACCAGTCGTTGTGGCTTGCTAGTCACCTCCTTCATGTTCCTGGAACGAAACAATACATTAGTGTTGCTACCACACAGATCAGAGTTGTGAGGTCCACAGAGATAGTTCCTAAACCCATTGAGTTATTTAAGAACATAAGAAATATATTTTACTCTAGGTAGACACACGTGTCAGTAAGGTGTTAATATCATTACTGATTCAGAAAGAACTTACAACAAATTTGAGATAAACAGACGATGTTTCGGCAGGACATCGTCAAAGATTTATTTTCAAGGTTCCAATTTGTGGGTTAAATTGTGAATTGTTGCAGCCATTTTACCGTAACTTATTCTTTATTACTGTGGTTCGGTTATCTTTATTAATATCAGTTCTATTATTATCATTATAGGCGTCATAATCATATAATAACAAAAGTTAAGATTACTTATTCATGGCTCAAATTAAGACATCGTTCAAAATCACAGTCCGTGAATCATCACAAGTCTCCACATAAGGTGAAATCTCCGGTACTCAGTCCGAGCAAGAGTTCTTATAATAATAATAACAATAATAATAAAAATAATAATAATAATAATAATAATAAATAATAATATAATAATAATAATAATAATAATAATAATAATAATAATAATAATAATAATAATAATAATAATAGTAATAATAATGATAATGATAATAATAATAATAATAATAATAATAATAATAATAATAATAATAATAATAATAATAATAATAATAGCAACACTAATAATAGTAATAATAATGATAATGATAAAAATAATAATAATAATAATAATAATAATAATAATAATAATAATAATAATAATAATAATAATAATAATAATAATAATAATGATAATAACAACAACAACAACAACAACAATAATAATAATAATAATAATAATAATAATAATAAAAATAATATTTTTATTTCTACAGGTACATGTACAAGGTATACAGGTATACAGGTATACAGGTATACAGGTATACAGGTATACAGGTATGCAGGTATACAGGTATACAAGGTATATAGGTATACAGGTATACAAGGTATACAGGTATACAAGGTATACAGGTATACAGGTATACAGGTATACAGGTATACAAGGTATACAGGTATAAAGGTATACAAGATATACAGGTATACAGGTATACAGGTATACAGGTATACAAGGTATACAGGTATACAGGTATACAGGTATACAAGGTATACAGGTATACAGTTATACAAGGTATACAGGTATACAGATACACAGGTACACAGGTATACAGGTATACAGGTATACAGGTATACAGGTATACAGGTACACAGGTATACAGGTATACAGGTATACAGGTATACAGGTATACAGGTACACAGGTATACAGGTATACAGGTATACAGGTACACAGGTATACAGGTACACAGGTATACAGGTATACAGGTATACAGGTATACAGGTATACAGGTACACAGGTACACAGGTACACAGGTATACAGGTACACAGGTACACAGGTATACAGGTATACAGGTATACAGGTATACAGGCCTAGCTGAGATCAATAAAATACTGCTATATAGAATTGTTTACATTTTAGCTTGAAAAGTTAGTTATAATTGTTGTTTGTTACTCTCCTTTATTCTTAATGTTATGTAGCATAAAACATGACAGTGGCACTACTTGACTGTCTTGCTAGTACCACATGACAGTGGCACTACTTGACTGTCTTGCTAGTACCACATGACAGCGGTACTACTTGACTGTCTTGCTAGTACCACATGACAGTGGCACTACTTGACTGTCTTGCTAGTACCACATGACAGTGGCACTACTTGACTGTCTTGCTAGTACCACATGACAGCGGCACTACTTGACTGTCTTGCTAGTACCACATGACAGCTGTACTACTTGACTGTCTTGCTAGTACCACATGACAGCGGCACTACTTGACTGTCTTGCTAGTACCACATGACAGCGGTACTACTTGACTGTCTTGCTAGTACCACATGACAGTGGCACTACTTGACTGTCTTGCTAGTACCACATGACAGCGGCACTACTTGACTGTCTTGCTAGTACCACATGACAGCGGTACTACTTGACTGTCTTGCTAGTACCACATGACAGCGGCACTACTTGACTGTCTTGCTAGTACCACATGACAGCGGCACTACTTGACTGTCTTGCTAGTACCACATGACAGCGGCACTACTTGACTGTCTTGCTAGTACCACATGACAGCGGCACTACTTGACTGTCTTGCTAGTACCACATGACAGTGGCACTACTTGACTGTCTTGCTAGTACCACATGACAGCGGCACTACTTGACTGTCTTGCTAGTACCACATACAGCGGTACTACTTGACTGTCTTGCTAGTACCACATGACAGCGGCACTACTTGACTGTCTTGCTAGTACCACATGACAGTGGCACTACTTGACTGTCTTGCTAGTACCACATGACAGCGGTACTACTTGACTGTCTTGCTAGTACCACATGACAGCGGCACTACTTGACTGTCTTGCTAGTACCACATGACAGCGGCACTACTTGACTGTCTTGCTAGTACCACATGACAGCGGTACTACTTGACTGTCTTGCTAGTACCACATGACAGCGGCACTACTTGACTGTCTTGCTAGTACCACATGACAGCGGCACTACTTGACTGTCTTGCTAGTACCACATGACAGCGGTACTACTTGACTGTCTTGCTAGTACCACATGACAGCGGTACTACTTGACTGTCTTGCTAGTACCACATGACAGCGGCACTACTTGACTGTCTTGCTAGTACCACATGACAGCGGCACTACTTGACTGTCTTGCTAGTACCACATGACAGCGGTACTACTTGACTGTCTTGCTAGTACCACATGACAGCGGCACTACTTGACTGTCTTGCTAGTACCACATGACAGCGGTACTACTTGACTGTCTTGCTAGTACCACATGACAGCGGCACTACTTGACTGTCTTGCTAGTACCACATGACAGCGGCACTACTTGACTGTCTTGCTAGTACCACATGACAGCGGTACTACTTGACTGTCTTGCTAGTACCACATGACAGCGGTACTACTTGACTGTCTTGCTAGTACCACATGACAGCGGTACTACTTGACTGTCTTGCTAGTACTACATGACAGCGGCACTACTTGACTGTCTTGCTAGTACCACATGACAGCGGCACTACTTGACTGTCTTGCTAGTACCAATGACAGCGGCACTACTTGACTGTCTTGCTAGTACCACATGACAGCGGTACTACTTGACTGTCTTGCTAGTACCACATGACAGCGGTACTACTTGACTGTCTTGCTAGTACCACATGACAGCGGCACTACTTGACTGTCTTGCTAGTACCACATGACAGCGGCACTACTTGACTGTCTTGCTAGTACCACATGACAGCGGTACTACTTGACTGTCATGCTAGTACCACATGACAGCGGCACTACTTGACTGTCTTGCTAGTACCACATGACAGCGGCACTACTTGACTGTCTTGCTAGTACCACATGACAGCGGTACTACTTGACTGTCTTGCTAGTACCACATGACAGCGGCACTACTTGACTGTCTTGCTAGTACCACATGACAGCGGTACTACTTGACTGTCTTGCTAGTACCACATGACAGCGGCACTACTTGTCTGTCTTGCTAGTACCACATGACAGCGCACTACTTGACTGTCTTGCTAGTACCACATGACAGCGGTACTACTTGACTGTCTTGCTAGTACCACATGACAGCGGTACTACTTGACTGTCTTGCTAGTACCACATGACAGCGGTACTACTTGACTGTCTTGCTAGTACCACATGACAGCGGCACTACTTGACTGTCTTGCTAGTACCACATGACAGCGGCACTACTTGACTGTCTTGCTAGTACCATATGACAGCGGTACTACTTGACTGTCTTGCTAGTACCACATGACAGCGGTACTACTTGACTGTCTTGCTAGTACCACATGACAGCTGTACTACTTGACTGTCTTGCTAGTACTACATGACAGCGGTACTACTTGACTGTCTTGCTAGTACCACATGACAGCGGCACTACTTGACTGTCTTGCTAGTACCACATGACAGCGGCACTACTTGACTGTCTTGCTAGTACCACATGACAGCGGCACTACTTGACTGTCTTGCTAGTACCACATGACAGCGGCACTACTGACTGTCTTGCTAGTACCATAATGACAGCGGTACTACTTGACTGTCTTGCTAGTACCACATGACAGCGGTACTACTTGACTGTCTTGCTAGTACCACATGACAGCTGTACTACTTGACTGTCTTGCTAGTACTACATGACAGCGGTACTACTTGACTGTCTTGCTAGTACCACATGACAGCGGCACTACTTGACTGTCTTGCTAGTACCACATGACAGCGGCACTACTTGACTGTCTTGCTAGTACCACATGACAGCGGTACTACTTGACTGTCTTGCTAGTACCACATGACAGCGGTACTACTTGACTGTCTTGCTAGTACCACATGACAGCGGTACTACTTGACTGTCTTGCTAGTACCACATGACAGCGGTACTACTTGACTGTCTTGCTAGTACCACATGACAGCGGTACTACTTGACTGTCTTGCTAGTACCACATGACAGCGGTACTACTTGACTGTCTTGCTAGTACCACATGACAGCGGCACTACTTGACTGTCTTGCTAGTACCACATGACAGCGGCACTACTTGACTGTCTTGCTAGTACCCACATGACAGCGGTACTACTTGACTGTCTTGCTAGTACCACATGACAGCGGTACTACTTGACTGTCTTGCTAGTACCACATGACAGCGGTACTACTTGACTGTCTTGCTAGTACCACATGACAGCGGCACTACTTGACTGTCTTGCTAGTACCACATGACAGCGGCACTACTTGAAGTCTTGCTAGTACCACATGACAGCGGCACTACTTGACTGTCTTACTAGTACCACATGACAGCGGTACTACTTGACTGTCTTGCTAGTACCACATGACAGCGGTACTACTTGACTGTCTTGCTAGTACCACATGACAGCGGCACT